CACGGGAGCCTGTTCTGTGTTTCCATGGTGTGGCATGGGCCCCCCAATGTGAGGAGTGTGAAGGAGGAAGAGAGGGGGAGAAGAGGGGGCAGGGAGGACAGCCTGGCGCCTGGCGTGAGTGCCCGAGTGCCAGAGGGCCCGTGGCTCCTCCTGTGTCACACCCGTGCCTGAGCCCAGCCCACACTCCCTGGTTGCCTCTCACAGCAGAAGGTCCCAAGATCCCATGAAAATCTCGTCCTTTCATGCTATCGGTTCAAGGCAAGGACACTAAGATCTAAACCAGGCCAGGTGCACATGAGGTCCCCATCCCAAGGGATCAATACATCCATTAGGGAAGTGCACTTGTCCGGAAAACCAGGCTGCGGATGCAGAAAGAGGCCCGGGTTTTGTATTGGGTGTCTCGGCTCCGCTGTCACTCTCTGAGGAAGCTGGCAAATGACCTTTAAACTTTTAAACATTGTGTTGTTTATTTTACTTATCAGAGACACACACACAAAGAAACTTCGCACATGCTCACCATAGTTAGGGCTGGGCCAGGCTGAAGCAGGAGTCTGAAACTCCATCCTATCACCCCCACCATGGTGGCAGGAACCCATCACCAGCTGCGGGGAGTGGGACTGGAGGTAGAGCCAAACCCACCCCCAAGGACTCCCACACTGGTGAGGGGCATCTCAAGCAATGACACCGCGTTGCACCGAACGCCCACCCCTCCAGTCCAGCTCTGGACGTCAGACAGGAGCGCTGGGCGGCTAAGGCACCGAGCAAGCGCGCCCGTCTCCAGACCTGTTTGGTCCTTTCCGCACCTTAGGCTGACTACTGTTGGGGAGTTCATGTCTTAGCCCAGAGACGCCCCTGCAGATGGTGGAGCGGGGGCTTGAACCCAGGAATGTGTGTTCTCATCCAAGTCCTTGAACGGATGCTCCGATTTCCCAGTGAGCACAGCCCCGGGAGAACAGGGGGTTGCTTATTTCAGGGACACCTTTATCTCTTTCTTTTCTTTTTTTCTTTTCCCATTTTTTTTTGACAGGCAGAGTGGACAGTGAGAGAGAGAGACAGAGAGAAAGGTCTTCCCTTGCCGTTGGTTCACCCTCCAATGGCTGCTGCGACCGGCGCACCACGCTGATCTGATGTCAAGAGCCAGATGCTTCTCCTGGTCTCCCATGTGGGTGCAGGGCCCAAGCACTTGGGCCATCCTCCACTGCACTCCTGGGCTACAGCAGAGAGCTGGCCTGGAAGAGGGGCAACCAGGACAGAATTCAGCACCCCGACCGGGGCTAGAACCCGGGGTGCCGGTGCTGCAGGCGGAGGATTAGCCTATTGAGCCACGGTGCCGGCCGTTTATCTCTTTCTTAAAAGATTTTTGTTTATTTATTTGAGAGGTAGAGTTATAGACAGTGAGAGAGAGAGACAGAGAGAGAGGCCTTCCATCCGCCGGTTCACTCCCCAAATGGCCCTAATGGCCAGAGCTGCACTAATCCGAAGCCAAGAGCCAGATGTTTCTTCCAGGTCTCCCATGTGGGCACAGGGGCCCTAGTGTGGGCCAACTTCCCCTGCTTTCCCAGGCCTCAGCAGAGAGTGGATTGGAAGTGGAGCAGCCGGGACTAGAACCAGCAGTTATATGGGATGCGTTGCCACAGGTGGAGGATGAACCCAGTGCGCCACAGCACCAGCCCCTTTTATCTCTTTTATTCTCCTCCTCTTCAATGTCCACAAAACGCCTTGTTTTCCGTGAGTTTGAATCGCGATCTGTCAGAAAGGAAAACGCATTCCCCTTTCTCTGAAAACACTACCACAAATCTGCTTGTACCCGGGATTGAGGTCATGCAAAGAAACACCGCTAAGAGCCCGCGACCCTTCCTTAGAGGTGTCTGCACGGACAGAGGCAGAGACCACACAGAACTCTGCTTGCTGAGCCGTGCGACCCCTGAAACAGTGCGGGAACTGACTCGATGGCTCCGTCACCGGCGTGCAGCTCTTAGATACCACGGGCAGTCAGGGGTGACCCGGCCTCGGAGCCGCAGGCACCCACCCAGGCTTCCAGAGCGAGGGGACTCTGCAGACGCTCCCGGCTCACGCGGGAGACACGGGACAGTCAGGTGGACAGGTGCCGCAGAAGCCGCTGCGCTGGGTTCTTTTTTTTATTTTTATTTTTTGACAGCCAGAGTGGACAGTGAGAGAGAGAGACAGAGAGAAAGGTCTTCCTTTGCCGTTGGTTCACCCTCCAATGGCCGCTGGGGCTGGCGCACTGCACTGATCCGAAGCCAGGAGCCAGGTGCTTCTCCTGGTCTCCCATGGGGTGCAGGGCCCAAGCACCTGGACCATCCTCCACTGCACTCCTGGGCCACAGCAGAGGGCTGGCCTGGAAGAGGAGCAACTGGGACAGAATCCGGTGCCCCGACCGGGACTAGAACCCGGTGTGCCAGCGCCGCAGGGCGGAGGATTAGCCTAGTGAGCTGCGGCGCCGGCTTGCGCTGGCTTCTATTCTTAGCCCGCATCCACTCATTTCTGACCACATCTCCCAAGCTGCTGCTTGGTTTAATTCGCCATTGTGGCTGCGCCACAATGAGAAGAAAACAACACAGATTCCACGTGCGTCTTTGTTTTAATTTCTCTTCTTCCCTGAGAGATTGCGTTAACTGTCTTAAAGACCAGCTCTCCCAGGTAAAGAAGTCAGCTAGCAACGTATGACGACTGGTGGCAAGGCCAGCCTTGCTGGCCTCGCATGCTCTCTCCTGATTGCTCAAACGAAGGCATTGGTCTGTAAGTATTGCGCAATCCAAGCCCACCCTCTGGACTTCAGCCGCCCTTGTTGGTGAGGGGCTTCGAGCCTAAACTCACTCAGTGACTGTGTCACAGAGCACAGGACGGCAAACACCGTGGCCCCCTTATCTGCTCACTGCAAGACCCCTGGCGGATGCCCGGGACTGTGGCTAGCACTGAGCTCTAGACATTCTGGGTTCTTCCCTATACATCCACAGCTACGGTAAACTTCCACCTTTTCACTTCAGGGAGGCACTCTGCCGCTTCTCTTTGGCCATACGATCGCCGACATCGCCGCGATGGTGCCTGGTGGGGGAGCGGGAGCGTGGCTGTTAGTTAATTAAATTCATAATTGCCTGAACACGAGGACCGCAGTGCTGTGACAGTGATGTGATACCTACGACACCTGCTGAGTGACTTGCGGGGGACAGCGTGCACAGCCCACTCATTGCATGGTTCACATCCCGGGAGGGCGAAGAGGCTGGTGCAAGACTTACCCGTGCTACTCAAAATGGGACGGGATGCAACGCTGATGAATTTTCATGTATTTCTGGAACTTTGCTTTAGTGTTTTTATTTGTTTATTTTTTTACCATGATTGACCGTGAACAAGTGAAACCATGGAAAGGAAAACTGTGGCCATGATGGGTCTGCTGTAAATCCAATATTGCCCAACCCTCTTTCTTTTTAAAGATTCATTTATTTATTTGAAAGTCAGAGTTACACAGAAAGAAGGAGAGGGAGAGGGAAAGGGAGAGGGAGAGGGGGAGAGAGAGAGGTCTTCCATCTGCTGGTTCCCTCCCCAGTTGGCTGCAATGGCCGGAGCTACACCAATCCGAAGCCAGGAGCCAGGAGTTTCTTCTGGGTCTCCCACGTGGGTGCAGGGGCCCAAGCACTTGGATCATCTTCTACTGCTTTCCCAGGCCAAAGCAGAGAGCTGGATTGGAAGTGGGGCAGCCTGGACTTGAACCAACACCATACAGGATGCTGGCACTGCAGGCGGCGGCTTTACCTGCTACACCACGGCGCCGGCCCCCACGTCTCCCTCTCTTAATTATCCCAGGACCCCTAGCCCCCTTTTAGTGCAGCCCTCAGTGGACACGTGGCTGGCGATCTTGGTCTGCTTCCCTCCCTTGAGTGCAGTTGTGTAAAACGATACGAGAAGTGCGTTTATGAGCTTTTCCTGAGTCTGAAAACTCACCTGTGCGGCGCTGATCATGATACCAGGAAGCCTGCAGACTCGGTGGCCCTGGTTCCTCGGGCCTCCTATCATGGCTGCAACCAGAAGGCTAGAATGCTAGGAAGTCTGGTCCACCACTCGCGGTCTGTAGCAAAGACGTTTGGCTACAAACACACGACAGCAGGAGCAGGACAGTGCGGCAGGCCTGGCACACGGCCGGCCTTAATAACCGTCAGTCGTCCCCGCCGTGGTCACGCACAGCTGTCACAGGGGTGCATCTCCTTACAGAGGGGTGGGGGTGAGAGCAGCACTGTGGGGCCAGGAACCTATGCAGCACTCCTGCCTTGGCACGGTGAAGCCACCGTCTTTATCAAGCCTCTTGGCAGCTCTGGCTTTGGGTCACCCTTCTGCAGGAGTTCTGTTGGGATCTGACCCAGCTAACGCTAGCAGACACATTCCTGTGTCCCCTGACCTTCTTTAGAAACCGGGCGGGGGGGAGGCTCATCTATACCGCAAGCACCGTGTCATTGCAGAGAGGCCACCACTAACCTACAGCATCACGCCATCGGCCGATGAGCAGAGCAGGGCCGCACCCAACCCTTAGTCCATCTCCTGTAGTGAAATCCCAGGACCAGAGCCAGTGCTGTGGTACAAGAGGTAAAGCCACCTCCTGCAGAGCCAACATCCCATGGGGCACTGGTTCGAGTCCCAGCTACTCCACGTCTGAGCCAGCTCCCTGCTAACGCGCCTGGGAAAGCAGTAGAAGATGGTCCAAATGCTTGGGTGCCTGCTACCCACATGGGAGACCTGGATGGGGTTCCTGGCTCCTGGCTTTGGACCGGCCCACCTCTGACCATTGTGGCCATTGGAGAAGTAAATCAGTGGATGGAAGTCCATCTCTCCCTGCCCCAGCCCCTGTAACTCTGCCTTTCAATTAACTAAATACATCGTTTTAAAAAATACCAGGACCATATGAAATACTCAGAGACATTAACTCCAAATGCCTCTTGGTCTAATTTTCACACCAAGAATGACTTTTTCCCTCTCTCTCTTTTTTCCAGCTCGTCCTTTCTCACCTCCCTTCAGTCGGGACAGGAGCGACTGGAGTTAATATTCTCAAGTTTGTGGAAGACCTTGCAGGAGCTTGAAGCTCTCCCAGAAGGTTCTCCCAGCTCTTCCCAGTGAGTCACGGCACCTACTTTGTGCACAAGGATCAAACACGGCATCTACTTTGTGCACAAGGATCAAAGACAGGCCGACAGAGGTTCGGGTCTGACAGACCTGAGTCTTGGGCTTGGATCAGCCTCCCTCTGGGATCTGTGTTTGGCCGAGCGCATAGCACGATAGAGTCTATAAAACACGGAAGACGGCCACTCTCGCGGGAACTGGTGTGCAGGCTCTTTTGTGTTTGCAGGCGGTAGAAGCAACCCAGCAACGTGGCTGAGCAGGGGTTCTATGCCGAGAGCTGAGGACTGTGGGACACACGTGTGTGAGCGTTAACAGAGCTCTAGCAGGAGAAATCGCTTCCCAAAAACCGGCTGGGGAAGAGCACACGTTCCCGTCCTGGACCACAGCAACCGTCAGGGTCCTCCTCTTCCCGGGGCAGCTGCACGTGGCTGGTTTGCGGCTAGAAGTGCACCGTGACTGCTCCGAGTCCTTTCGCACTGCTCCCTGGGTCACCCATAAAACCAGTGGTTTGCACCCATCTGCGGGCCGCCAATAGCCAAGGTCTGCTAGGCACCCGGAGCCTACAAGTGGCACAACAGTAAACATCCCCGCTAATCGAATAATGCACTATTTAAAGCTAAATCAATAGGCCCACATTTCTAGCCTGAATAAAACATGAATCCTTAATAGAGTTATATCAGAAACTTAGGCCTAATGGGTCCTGTGGTTCCAAGATTTAACTCTAAAGATGAAGTTGTAACGATTACAAGAATAGGAACAAAATAAAAGGTTGAGGGGAATGCATTTGACATTTGCTCCGGTGGAGTCATGTGCAAATGAAAATCAATTTACTTGAAGCAAATCTTGCCTCTTTACAGGATAGATGCCGTGTGGTGTCAACATTTATTCTCTTCAATATTTATTCACCTCAAAGGGGAGAGCAGAGCGTGCAGCCTCAGTGTATGGCCTCGGGGTATGGCCTGGAAATAAAAGCGAATCGATTCAGCTTCCTGGCACAGGCGGCAAGGTCAATTTAACCCACCTCCCCAAAGAAGTGGGCCAGGAGGAATGCATTACTCTCGGAGCAAGCTGGAAAGGTAGGGGCCTTCACGGCGCGGGGTAGGAGGAGAGGGACCCTGTCGGGCCTCTGGCTTTGCCTTGGGGACGCGTTTCACTTCCCCAGAGCAACTTCCCCATTAGGGCACGGACGGAGGCCAGCGGCAGGGCCAGGGTCGTTTCTGCACAGCCTTGTTGAAGGAAAGGAGGATGGTTTTCCCTTCCGGTTGCAGGTCCGCACTCCTCAGTGGGCCGCCAGCCCCCAGGCCGGTAGCTGCCTGTGGTGGGGAGGTGGACAGGCTGTGCTGAGCAAGTGAGGGCCCCTCTCGTGGGCCCTGTGTCCTTCCTGGGCACGGGCTGCTGCCCCTGCAGTTGCTCAACCTGAGATCCCGCCCTGCCAAGGTTTTGGCTCGAAGGAACAGGATGGAGAGGCGGCTTCCAGAGGTCGCCACTGGGCTCCGGGTATTTGCACGCGCAGACGCGCACTCTTAGCCGGGCAGAGCCCCCCCGCCCCCGAGGTCTTCCCAGGCACCTTGTAGGGGAGGGGAAGCCTTGAGGACCTCTCTCCTCTACTCTGGCTCGGTTCTCAGTCCTTCCCCCTTCTATTCCCCCGACCCCCGCCCTGCCCCCGGCACCCACAACTTCTCGAGGCCTTTCTCCGCGACTTCCTTGGCAACATGGTGCCCCCAGGTCTGCACTGGGCCACCGCCCCCTCGCAGCAGCGGGGGCACTGCCTCCGGCTCGGGCCCCCTCCCGGCTGCTGTCTGGAAGGGTTGCCCCGACTCCGGAGCCCTGCTCAGCCCCTCGTGGTCTCCTGGGCTCTGGTGTCCCCTCCCGGCTCTCTCTGAACCAACCCTGTGGTCAGGAGGACGGGGCATGCTGGTCCCCGAGGCTGGCCCATTGCTGCCCCTGGAGCTGGAGTCCACGTCCCCCACAGCCACGGGACTCCCAGGAGAGGCAGACACGAGCAGGGGTGCGGGGAGCTGCGACAGGCTGAAGGCGCGGGGGCGCCCCTGCCCTGCCTCTGCCACCCTCAGGCCTCCAGTCCTCCGAGGGCCCTGACAGCAGAGAAACCACGCTGCCGCTTGAAGAGGGAAAGTCCGACAGAAAACGAGTCCGGCCGGCACAGGGTGGCGTAACGGGCTGTCGTCCCTCCAGCCGGCAGACGTGAGAGGCCGGGAGGGCCGGTTTGCAGGGGCGTGTGGAGTCAGCAGTGTCCAGGAGACCCGCAGCACAGTCTCAGGCTGGGCTGGAAAGACACTACGCAGTCCCCCGTGAGGGCGACGGTGCTGGCTGGGAAGGAGGAGGGTTGGCGCTGGAGATGGGGAGGAGAGGGCGCGGCCAAGGGCAAAGCCGTGCTGCAGCCTCCAGCTGGTTCCTCTGGACCACGGCGGCCAGGACACGTGGGGGGACCTGGAGGACCATACACGACAGCGGGGACAATGTATGCAGGGCACGGAGGCTGGCGCAGCCTTGAGCAGTGGTGGTGGTGATGGGGGCACCGGCAGCAGAGGACTTGGCCGAGGAACGCCCGGGGCCACCCCAGCTGGGCGTCAAGGGGGCAGCTGGAAGGCGCGAGGCCAGGGCGACCGCCCGGGTGTGTGTCGGGCGGGCAGCAGGCACAAGCCCTGCACCAGAGCAGCGGACTGCAGGGGGCGCCCAAGCCCCCGCCAGGCTTCCCATGCAGAGTCACCCCCTCAGCCTGGTCCCCCACCCCACCCCGTGTTCGCTTCCTCTTTCCCAGTCCTTCTGAGGACACAAAGATGGATGCCGCTGCCCCAGGCCCGCTTCGATTCTGTGGGTAGGGTTTGCTCTCGCCGCTCCCCGCCCCACTCAGAATAACAGCGGTGGTCCGTTTTATTTGTGATTTATAGACTTCACACACGGTGACTTACTGTATCCTAATAAATCAGATGTGAGATCTGCGCGGGACGGTCATATTTAATCATTTATTTTAAAGGGTGGCGGGGGGAGGGGGGCTTTCTATCTAATGGCTCACTCACCAAATGCCAGTGGCAGCTGTGGCGAGGGCGGGCTGAAGCCTGGAGCAGGGAGCTACATCTGAGTCTCCTGGGGGGGTGGGGGGACAAGTGCCTGAGCTGGGGGGGGGGCAAGTGCCTGAGCTGGGTCTCCTGGTGGGGGGGGGCAAGTGCCTGAGCTGGGGGGGGGGGGCAAGTGCCTGAGCTGGGTCTCCTGGTGGGGGACAAGTGCCTGCTGCCTCCCCGAGTGTGGTTAGCAGGAAGCCGGATGAGACACAGAGCTGGGACCTGAACCCAGGCATTCTGATATGCGATACAGATATCCAAAGCATTACCTTTTTATTAAAAAAGAGATTATTCTATGTATTTGAAAGGCAGAATTACATAGAGAGAGGGCGAGAAAGAGATCTTCCATCTGCTGGTTCACTTCCCAAATGGCCTCAACAGCCAGGCCTGGGCCAGGCTGAAGCCAAGAGCCAGGAACTGCATCTGGGCCTCCCGCGTGGGTGCAGGGGCCCCAGTACTTGGGCTTCTCCCTCTGCTCTCCCAGACACAACAGCAAACAGCTGGACCGGAAGCAGAGCAGCTGGAGCTGAAACGTGGCTCTCGTAGGGGCCGCCAGGGCACAGGTGGTGGCTTTGCCCACTGCACCACGACGCTGGCCCCCGAGTTTTATCTTTGCTTGGAGGGTGTGTAGCCAGGCTCAGGTCACATGATGGGAAAAAGGGTCCCCATAGGCCTGTGACGGGGACCACGGCGTCCCATCAAGTAGACCAAGGTGTCTGAAGTGCAGGCACCTGGAAACACTTTCATCTTGCTGGAAGTCCCGTGGCCTCCCTCCCTAGAGTCCCGTTCAGCTGATCTGAGAAGGGCCCTGGCGTCGGTGCTCTCTGGGGGTCGTGGATTTGCCACCGTCGGCCCTGGAGCTGAGGCCCCGGCGGGAGAGGCGTGGGTCGCTGTGCCGTGGCTAACCATCTCTCTCAGCATTCGCGAGAGACGCGGGCAAGTATTTCTGTGATTTCTCACTGTGCTGCTTCTCTTGGGGCTGTCGCCCCTGCCTTCTGGGTCACACAGCCCCATTATTTCCTTTCTGTTCCTGGCATTCATCCCCCCATCCTCCCCGCAATTCATATTTTCAGCTATTTCTAGGCGCAATCCACTACTGCAGGCCCCCCGGGGAGAAACCCATGAATAACTTGTGGTTCCTCCCCCGGGCCGTAAGTGCACCCTGCCTGCGCCTTCCACAGGGAGACAGCCTCCGTAATTCCATTACCTGTGCCAGAAAATAGACGCTCATCTTCCAATATGCCCTGAACCTGAGCAGCGAGACTGCCGAAGGCTCTGGTTCTCCCTGCGTTTGAGGCAGCTCCGAAGGGTTTATCCAGAGGTTTGCCAGGAAGGGTGGGCCCAGGGCAGGGGGCGGAGCCGCGCAGTCACTGCACTCTCGTTAGTGGAAGCGAGTTCGCAGCGGAACAGGTGATGTCTTGGGACAAAAGGAAGGTAGCGAGAGGGAAAGCTGTAACAAAAGACCAAGAAGTTTAAAGCAATTCACAAAGGACTGAATGTGCTGAAAAACATAGCCAGTGCTGGGATGATCGCTTCCACAGAGGAGACACACACACACACATGCACACACACTCGCACAAGTCTGCTTGGAAAGGCAGGATCTGGGACAAACACGGGGCCCTGGTCGATGGCGGGCTCGAAGCTGCAGGTGTGGGGAGCACGCGTGCACAGGCGGCTCCTTGTGCGTGTCGGGAAGGAGGTGGATTCTCTGTGGCTGGGTGGGGGCTCGGCTTCTGAGGAGGAAGACATCTGCCGGCACCCCAAGCATCCCCTGCGACGCCATCCTTCCCCTGCCCCGTCTGTCCATCCCCCGGGGAGCCGGGGGAGCCAGGGGGGCGGCCAGAGCAAGGCACAGCCGAGAAGCCGTGACTGCGGTGTTGCTGCCTCTGTGGCTCTCCTAACTTTTGGGGTTGATGCTTGTGCTTGTCTTGTTTCGCCTGTGAAGGAGGCAGGAATAAACCCGGTGGCTTGTGAACCTGCCCTCAACCCCGGCTGTGTGGTGGTGACCTCACTCTGCTGGGTCCCCCGGCTGTGTGCACCTGCACACGGAGGGCACCACGGAGTTCTGAGGAGAGAGGTGGGGTCTGCGCTAGGACGAAACCCAGGAGAATGTGCCCCCTCCCTTCCGTTCTCTTCCTCATGCCTTTCTGGAGAGAGTGTTGGATGGATTGGGGTCGAGGGGCACAGTCCCGCTCTGCAGAGGGGAATGTTATGATCCCAAGCCAGGAAGTGACCTACTGGGACACGTTGTAGGGGGTGGGGCACCGGACTCGGGGAAATATCTTGAAATTCAGATTATGAAACAAAGTTTGACTGAATCTTGCCCTTCAGTCATCTCTGGAGAAGTCGTCTCTCTGTGTGTGTGTGTGTGTGTGTGCGTCTAGGGATGTCTCCAGCTCCATGTCTGTCTGTCTTCATCTTCCATCTACCATCTATCTGTCATCTATGCATCTTCATCTGCTGTCTATCTATCTGGCTGTCCCTCCATCCCCCCCCCACCCCCCTGGGGATGGGAGAATCCCCTTTTAACCACCAGGAGATGCCACAGAGCAGGAGCCCCGGCCTCACAGAGGAGCGAGAGCTGGAGGATCCGCAGGTCGGGGGAGGGAGGGACGAGGTGCAGGTGGGGCAGGCGGTGCCAGGGGTGGCTCTCAGGCTATCCTGCCCCCGTGTGGTCCTTGCGCGTCCCCTGGGCAGGAGAGCTGAAGCCCCTGCCCACTGCTGTCGCTCAGTTCACTGGGCATCCACGGGAGGGCAGCAGTGCTCAGAACTGGGAGGGCCACTCGACGCCATTGCACAATTGTTGTGTCTGCGTCTGTAAGAGCGAGGTGCATCGTAAACTCACCAGGCATCAGGGAAGACTCGCCAACACCACGGGAATCGAGTGTGTTCTTCCTCTTAGTTTTGGAAATGGTTATCCACTCAAGAAATCAAGTGTCTTGCAGCAGTGGGTCCCCAGCATGGGGGCGTAATGAGGGAGGAGGCGGCTGCCTGGGGGCCATGGCTGAGTTCCAGGCAGCAGAGACGCCAGGATAAGGGGCCGGATGGGCCTTCCTGTGGTGCACCCACAGCGTGAGTTAGATGGGAAAGCGTTTGTGTTGAATAGTGGCTCCCAGCTCCGTGCTTGGTGGTGTTATCTGGGAAGACAGTTTGCAGCTAATGGCCGGCCTGTTCATCCTCCCACTTAACAGCTGTTCCGATTACAAAAGACAAAGACAAGAGGCCCACATACCTCTCAGGCTGTCCCCGAGGCCGTGAGTGACAGGCCCGCTGCCAGCCCCTCTTGGGGACGGCTTGAGGACTTTTGGAGGTGATGCGACGTGGTCAGGAGAAAGAA